TCTGCCAGGGCTCTGCAGACGAAGAAATAGGGTCATTTAATTTTCTACCACTCTGGGTTTTTTTTTTGTATAATACAAATGTACCTACTTGCATTCGTCTTTTCAGAGGCCAATACAATTAGAGCTGGTCCAGTTGGCATTTAGGGGTGGGCAAACAAATAATTAAACAAACGTAATCAGAGATTATAGAGATAACCTTAATGAATATTTGTCTTTAGATAAACAAAATCGCAAATAAAACTAATAATCTACTAGTAAATCCCAAAATCACTCATCTGGAAAATCTAGATGCAAGCCTGATAGTGTGAGCATCCTTTGATGTATCATCCCTGGAAGTTTTGTCAACATGGGGCTTATAGCAACTTGGGAATGAGACCTGTACCAAACTCTTTAACCTGTTCACTCGATCATCCGAAAAATGAAGGTCAGATCCAGCATCTGAAGCAAGCCTGGTAGTATTCATCCTTGAATGTATCACTCGGCCATCCAAGTTTGGTCAACATAGGGCTTAAAGTTCACTCATCCAGAAAATGTAGTTCAGATCCAGCCTCTGACGCAAGCATGACAGTATGCATCCTTAGATATATTAACAATGCAAGTTTGGTCAATATAGTCTCTACAGTTACTTGGAAATGAGTCCTGTACAAAACCCTTTGAACTGTTTCACTTATCCGCAAAATGTAGGTCAGATCCAGCATTTGAAGCAAACCTGGTAGTATGAATACTTATAGTATGTATACTTATATATTTTTAAAGAAACATTAATTTGACTACTTCACATTTCATTCATCAATTTAGATTTACCAAAAAGAACCTGTTATATAGTAAAACATGACCGAACATTCTATCTTGTCTTCTTACTTGTTAAAATCAAGACATGTTACGGAATGCTTCCAATTTTATGAACAGTCAGAATCGGCCAGTATATAATAAATTTATTAATGAATGTTCTGGGACATCATCACAAAACGTTATAAAAGCTTCATACAAGTGTTGAGAAAAATCCAAGTAGACAATACGATGAAATAACCAAAAATACTAACGTCCGTTACAGTATTACAAGTTCCGCAATTAAAAACCCCAATACTATGCGCAACGTCTAAACAACGTCACCCAACTGCAGAGTTAAAAATCATCTTAAAATATAAAAGTTTGATATCATATTATTATTTGATACTTCCTTCATAGGTTGAAAAACTAAAATACCATGTTTGGTAAGACTTAGTAATAAATGACCTAAAAAAGTGGTATGGACAAATATTATGTTAATACTTTCTACAATTAGTATGATAAATTTCAGGATACATTTGTCCTTACAGTTTAACAATAAGATATGGAGATAACTAACAGTATCAATATCAAAGTCCATAAAACAATATAAAAATAGGAGCAGGGCAAAGATGGACCTAAAAAACATCAAAGGTGGGATCAGGTGCCATGAAGGAGTGAGCATCTCCCGCCGACTCGTCACATCCGCTAGCTGTTTGCTCCTTGGCATGATCGGAAAAATCCGTCGTCAATTCAGTGTAAAAATAATGAACTTACAATTAGTATGAAAACGGCAGTAAGCATTTCATTCAATGATAAATTGTATTTTGCTGACAAGGTCATTGTATCGACCATAGAACTTACGAAATGATGACTTTAAATGAGACTGCTGATAATCTTGTTTCCTCAACTTGTTTGTCAATTATTTACCTCATTTACAGAAATTGGTCATACGAAGAGCATGCTCTTGCGTATTGAATTAAATTAGATATAAAAAGTCTGTATGCAGGTGATGAAGGTATATTGCTGCGTAAGTAAAGGAAGCTGACGACAGAAAAATTAAAGTCATCATGCTTATCATAGAGTTGTTAGGTTACCATTAACGTCTTTTTCAAGCAAAATATCCAAGTATGAAACAGATGAGCGGGACTCTGTGGTATCTATTATCTCAAGCTCACCAGGATATATCGTATCGACATAGAATGGAAATCACCATTGTTAAGTGACAATATACATTTACGTCGATATATCTAAATTTATCCCACTGTGGCCCCACCCTTCCCCCGGGGGGTCATTATTTGAACAAACTTGAATCTTCGCTACCTGAGGATTATTCCACAAGAGTTTCATCTTTCCTCGCCCAGTGATTCTGGCGAAGAAAATTTTTACTATGTTTTCCTATGTTACACTTTGATACCCCATTGTAGAACCACCCTACTCCCTGGGGTCATGATTTGAACAAGCTTGAATCTTCACTACCTGAGAATGATTCCACACGAGTTTCATCTTTCATGGCCCGGTGGTTCTTGAGAAGATTTTTAAAAGATTCCATTAATTTTCGCTAATTTATAATTATCACCCCTTGGAAGAGGGGGTGGCCCTTCATTTGAACAAACTTGAATTCCCTTTACCCAAGGATACTTTGAGGCAAGTTTCGTTGAAATTGGCACAGTGGTTCTTAGAAGAAGATGAAAATGTGAAAAGTTAACGACAAAAACTACAACTACGACAATGACAAAGACAGACAACGGACAAATTTTGATCAGAAAAGCTCACTTGAGGCTTTGGCTTATGTGAGCTAAAAAAAAAAAAGAGAGGAAAAATTTGAGAGAAAGCAAAAATCTTTTGAAATAATTTTGATAATGAAACAAAATAAGCCATCTCTTATCTTTGCTAGACAAGGGTTTCTGATATGTTACTCTCCTCATGAACCCTTGGCATACAGTGTTCATAGAAGTTTTATTTATTTTCTCTCGATCGGTTGACCAATCAGCAATTGTTTTTTGTAAATGACGATATTTGCGCTTGGGATACTTCTTGACTCTTTCATCTCGTAAATGAAAAACCCAAGTAAACAACTATCCATAAGATAACATGTAATTCTATGAATAGATATGGTGTCATCCAAAATATGTCATTAAGAATCTATATTGAAGCTTCCGATTTGTACTATAAATAATAAATAAACATAACTCATCATTGCTACTTAATTATTCTTGAAAAAAAAACTTTGATTTAATTTATTTAAACATGCGTCTTTATTTCTGTCCATGATCTCGAATCTGTGCGTACCTGATTGATTCGAGATCATGTGATGAAAACAATTCCGTCTGTTACAACCAATATTGAAATAATGACCACTATTGAAATAATTATTTCAATAATGGTTGAGAGTGCATTTCAATAACAAACATAGGTAATAACCACTATTGAAATACAACCACTATTGAAATAATTACATCAATAGTGGTTAAGAGTGCATTTCAATAACAAACATGAATAGTAACCCTATTGAAATATGACCACTATTGAAATAATTATAGCAATAGCGGTTGAGAGTGCATTTCAATAACAAACATAGGTAATAACCACTATTGAAATACGAATACTATTGCAATAATTATTTCATTAGTGGTCGAAAGTGCATTTCAATAACAAACATAGATACGAGGGTCGATCCAAAAGTAATGTCACAGTGTCCATATCTTTTATATTTGGCGTCATATTATCAAATATTACATACCAAAAGATGCACAAATATAAATTTAATTAAACTTTAATTTTTCATTCAATAATGTTTAACTGAATTTATTTTATAGATGTTTAAAACATATAAGATAGGGGGTGTCGCCGCGTCAAACCGAACGTCACAAATTAAAGTGTACTTTTTTTAGTATAAAAAAGACAAACACTTAAAAAGCATCTTTTATAAGTGCCTAAACGCAAAATACTTTAAAAGACAAAAATGTACATCATTTTCTAGTCTTAAATTGAAAATTATATGACATCACTGCTATTTTTATGAAAAACATCGTTGATTTATTCCGGTGCATCGAAAAAAGGAAATGTCAAAATGGACAAAAAAGCCCAAACAAACTGAAATGCATTTTTGCTTCAAAATGAAGAAATCGCCAGTAGAGACAGTTACGTTGATTCACCAGACTTTCAGAGGAAAGAATGTAAATAAGAGACTTGTTTAGATGGTTTCAGCGATTTTTGGTGGGTGATGGGTCATTAAATGCTCAGCAGATGACAAGAAAACCGAAAGATGGGAGGGCGGACGGAAATGTTCAATGGTGCGTGACGTTGTCAAAAAGACAGTGACGGATAGAGCGATATGTGAAATTTTAAGTTGGTCATTTACTACTGTTCAATGAATTTTGACAGAATTAATTAATTATGGAAAGAGTCAGTGTACGATGAGTATTAAGGGAAAAAAGTGAAATTTGTGAACGTGTTCTTGGATATCTAACCTCAAATATTTTAATGAAACGAAGGGAAGCGTTTAAATGTATGACGGCGCTTATCCGTCATATGACGTTATTTAGGTGCGGCGACTACCATGATCGCACGTTGTATATAATCCGATATTTTAAAAAGTATAAATCATGTTGAATTGAAATTTTCAGGTCTGATTTGAAATAAATGTAGCTTTCATCATTTGTAATTTTTTTGTCTTACGTCGACGGATAGCGATTTAATCGAAGTTGTGACATTACTTTTGGATCAACCCTCGTAGTAACCTCTCCTGAAATACGACTACTATTGAAATAGTAAGTGGGCGAGATTCATTTCAATAACAAACGTATGTTGCAACCACTTGAAATAATGTTCACTTTTGAAATAAGGATTTCAATATGGATAAAATTATTGATTTCAATAGTGCTTTGAACAATGAATCCAATATATATTGAAATAATTATTTCCATAGCGGTCATATTTCAGTAGTGGTTACAAACTATGTCTGTTATTGAAATGCACTCTCAACCACTATTGATATAATTATTTCAAAAGTGGTCGTATTTCAGTAGGTGGTTACTAAGTATGTTTGCTATTGAAATGCACTCTCAACCACTGTTGATATAATTATTTCAATAGTGGTCGTTATTTCAATAGTGGTTGCAACACCCGTCTTTTGACTTCATTGTATGCCACGGGTTCATGAGGAGAGTAGCGTATCAGAAACCCTTGGTTAGCGAAGATGGCCATCTCTGAGTTGAATTATAAACAAGTTTTGAATTTGAAAATCAGCATTTAATTTTGTTTTGGAGACATCCAAAGAAATACAAGAAATCTGCAATTTTGGACCTGTCCTCCGCATTTAACATATCAAATGGCTGGGTATAGGAAATCCTTCCTTTTGTGGTCAAAGGTGTCTTTAAAAGGACATTCACGTAATGTTCATCTGGTAACTTCAGGTACACAAAAATAATCTGAAAAAAGTTCAACAAAAAAATTGTGAAAAGATCACCTGAATAATAATACAATGTACAACCCAGTAAAAGATCAATATAATGTCAGTGTGAGCCAAGTACTAGTATATTTTTTTTTTAATTAGAGAATTGTGAACCGAATCAATTAAACAATAATGTTATTACATAGGCCTGATTAAAGGCGAGACCATAGAAAGTACATCTAATTACGTGTCTGTACTAGCCAGTCCTTACAAACTTTGTCAATATCAATTGAGAGTTACAAAACAAAGGGAAAAGCTAATTTGTAAAATATCAATAATACATGTAATATTTCAAAATTTCGATCGTAAGAGTCCATCTTCATCACAAACTTTTTATATCCATATATTTATAGATTGTAGTACATGTATTTTCAATCATCTACCATTTGCCTGTATTGTATATATTTTCAATGTACCTATGAGCCACAAGTCTCTTGGTCATCAATAAACAACAAACTGTTAATCTGCTACATGTATCTAACTATAATATGATCACAAAAAAAAACACAAAACACTAAAATAACATAAAGCCACATCTCAACTCCAAAGTGACCCAATGCTTTTGAATTTTATAATTTGGAAGAAGCACTCTCACATATTATAGCCATGTGCATCTGCTAATATTATTATACAAGTATGGACTTAAGTGTAGGTCGATATGTGGTTATAAGGACTCATGCAGTCCAGTCCAATACGAAAAATCGTAATATTACTAAAATTCGTAATATAAGCAATTTCTAACTCTTCTAAGAGTTACTTCCCTTTTTTCTGATACAACCTGCTTGTTATGTTTCATGAGAGATTATACGTCTCCGGTTTCATCAAATCATCGTGGATATGCATGCATTTTCTTTGTTTTGATGCATTTGATCCAAGTGCATGCAGAGTCAGAGCCTAGCGAAAGTTGTACAAGTTATATCCCGTTACATCTCGTTGTTGGAGATGAGGGTCTGATTTTTAGGGTAGACTTTGGGAAAAATATAGGGAATTCGGGGATTATAGAACACTATGACAAGTTTTAGGATACATTGAAGTTTTATGGAAAATTGTTCCCATCCCTGGGAAAATTCTTATATAAGAATAATAATACAAAATTTTCACTCACCCATTACTATTGTTACTTTCATCTTGCATTTTCATACTTTTCGATAGACGTCACTCACCAAAATGACCACGTGATACTAGTACCATTGGGGCATAATGTATTTCTGACGTCATACTTTCCTTAACATCATTCAGTTTCTTTCAATGTTAATTTTGTCTTACATTACGAAAACTCGTAAAATAGTCTCTCACGACATGTTATATTACGAGTTTTCGTAATTTAACTATATTACGAAAAATAGTAATATAAGAATAATATTACGATATTCTGTAATATTACAATTTTTCGTATTGGACTGGACTGTCATGGCATTGATATTGACCAAAGACACAGGAAGTGACAGTGACCAAGCCTGCAAGGTTGCTATCATTTTCTATGTCCGAGGTCAATATCAATTGCCATGAGTCATTATAACCACATATTGACTGTTCACTGAAGTCCATAATAGTTATATCATATAATCACTCAAAGTAAATGCACTGACACAGTTCTAACTAAACAGACTTGGCTGTCATTACATGACAATGGTTAAAAACACACTTCTTATATTATGAGGTCACATTCTACATTACTTCAGGGCAACCAAATGCTGTGTTGTGCGATATCATTTTCCACCGATGCGCTTTTGCGATGATATCACAAAAGGAGAATATCACGTGACATCCTTTCAGGCAATGAAAATTACAAATTAAAATAATCTTCTAATTTAATATATTTAAATATATTAAGACAAATATAAAAATTATACATGTAAAATAAATGTACAGTCCTCTCCATAAAAACAGGATTAAAGTCTTCTATTTCAACCATTTTCTATTAAAATACTTTGTATATGTTTAAAGTAAAATGTAAGGCACAAAATTTTTTTAAAAATTAATAAACTTATAGTTTAGTACTATCTAACTAAAAAAACACTTGTATGAGGGCCCGGGGTGATCAAAAAGTTCATGAACTAATTGAATAACTTCCAAAAGAGAAATGATATAGGGTTTCAGTGTTGAAAATGTTTCAAAGTCGTCCTCTCCGATCACAGATCACATGATATAGGCAGTCACGTGACATGATCCTAGTCGTTCTGTCATAGAAACTTAAAATTTTTTCCGCCTCTTATATTTCTTACGATGCAGGTTATTTTTTCCAACAAAAACAGTCCATTTGTCAGAAATGACCTAATTTCGCCAATAGTATGGGTGGTTAATGATAGCCTTTTCCAGAATGAGCATGGTGACCATCAAAACCCAAGTCCGTTAGGACTTTGTCTTTTTAGTGTCGTTTATTTTATATGGATAAAGTATGGGTGCCATCACTTTATCATATATCTGATTTGTTTAAAGTCTAAAGTAAACCAAATTTTAGGTATTTGATAATTATATTATTGTAAAGATATTCATCTATTTTTCTAACTGTAAGTTGGCGATCCTTAATATCAAATTATTTAACAAAGGACACATCTCTCTCCCCGTTTGATTTCACTGGGCAAAAGAACAAACATCATTTTTAACCATCTCCCTTCCTTCACTTAAACAATCAATCCAATTAATGACAAAATTCCTTGCAATTCTTTTGTCTTCATAAACCATATACATACATGTATTATTATAAACTTCTACAAAAAAATTTCCAAGATATAGGTTTATCTTTACAGCCGTTAGTTTCTCAAATACGACTAAGTCAACCATTTTTTGTAACAAGTGATCTACCTTATTTTCACATTGTGACATCACAAAAACGGGGAAAAACGTTCCATTACATATGCTAATTATAGAACATGTGCATGACTCTATGTGTGCCAGATTTCATTCTGATCTGTATTGTGGTTTTGTAAATATGGAGATAGTTCGCGAACTTTTTGATCACTCCTCACTATGTGAAAGTTATGTAGGACAGAACATTAAATATTAAGATCATTCTGCTGTACTTACTTTTGTTTCTAAGCATAGGATCCCAAGAGTATTTGGTTTTAACAAAGAAAAATTTGTTTCTGCAAAAAGGCTTGTTCCAACCTGCCCTAATACCCTGGAACCCAACTGCTCTTCCAAAGATAGAGAAGAATCACTGCTCAGTTTATCTGTCGATTTTAACTAAAATGAATTGACAAAATACATGGTTTAAAAAGAAGTGTCAAAAGTAATATTGTATTAAGCAATAAAAAGTTTGTTAATTTAATTATTATGTTTGACCATAAGAAGCAATAACAAAATGTGTTTGTGAAACAATATGCCCCCGGCGGCAACAAAAATCAAAAAGCTATTTTTAGCATACAAACATAGGTAACATTCAAGGTCACAAGGTCATTGACCTTGGTGTCATTTGAAAGAACTTGATGAGTGGATTATGCACACCAAATATGAAGTCTCTATCTTTTTTGGTTCAAAAATTATGGTGAAAGGTACGAAAAAGCTTTTTTTAGCATATAGGTCACAGTCAAGGTCACTATGTCATTGACCTTGGGTGTCATTTGAAAGAACTTTATTAGTGTAGTTTGCATACTAAATATGAAGTCTCTATCTTTCATGGTTCAAAAGTTATGGCGAAGGTTAAAGTTTGCAGACAGAAAAGCTATTTTTAGCATATAGGTCACATTCAAGGTCACAAGGTCATTAAAATTGGTGTCATTTAAAAGCACCTAATTAGTGAAGTATGCATACCAAATATGAAGTTTCTACCTTTCATGACTCAAAAGTTATGGCGAAGGTTAAAGTTTGGGGACAAACAAACAGACAGACAGACAGACAGGACAAAAACAATATACGCCTTGGATCTATCGATCCGGGCGCATAAAAATGTTTCTTTATCTTTAGATCTGTTTCTGAATTGTTAGTCAATGTTGCACTATTTACATCACCATGGTGTTACCCAAGTGCATATTACATATTTTGGAGAAAAGGATAAATCAGATTTACCTGAGTGACTGTCAGTATAGAATCAGGAGTATCAATGACCCCAGGGACAGGTTCTCTGTGGATCAAGTAACACAAATCAGGAGTACTGTCCACCAACTTATCCATACAGTAAAAGGTCTTCCTGCTCACTGGACTGGAAACAGGAAAAATAATAAATAAACATAATAAAGGTGAAATTTTGTTTATTTTCTGTTTATGCTTGGTTTTTAATGAGACACAATTTTTTTTTAATTGCTTCATATGTTAAACTAAAATTATTGCATTTAAAAAATTTAAAATTCAGCTTTTTATTCATTTAGAAGATTGTCAGCATTGCTTAAGATTTCTACTTTGCAAGACAAATGTTAATCTATCTCCCTTCATTTATCCAATAAGAATGTTAATCCTAGTTAATCATAAATATGTAACATGCATGTTGATCACTTACTCTGGCTCCAAGAAAAACATCTGTCCAAATACAGAGGAAAAATGCTTAAAGAAACTTCCAAAACAATCTGTATTCATATCAGGTGACTTTTCTTTCCTTTCCTGTCCAATAGTTCTCCCCCTCTCCTTCTCTTGTTCTATTTTTAGAGAGAGCATGTCCCCTTCCTCCAAAGGATACAGTGACTTCTTTATCAGCTTTAAAGTTTCCTCTGCAAATCTCTTCACAGCTGGCATCCATTTTCTGTTTAATCTAAAGGCAGAAGCAAAGAGCATAAAAAATAGTCTACTTTTAATCAGAAAACATTCCCTTGGACCCAATTTTTTTCCTTCAACCATTGAAGTATTTTAATCACACAAAAATAATTGATTGTACATGTTGTACAGTTCTACAACCATACTGTAATGTAAGGAGTGTGTGACATACATGTACAATGACTATACTGTAATGTTAGGAGTGTTTGACATACTATGACTATACTGTAATGTTGGGAGTGTTTGATATACTATGACAAGTTTGTATGTTGGAAGCGTTTGACATACTTTGATTATACTGTAATGTTGGAGTGTTTGATATATTATGATCAGACTATTATGTTGGGAGTGTTTCATGTGTTTAACATACAATGACCATACTGTTATGTTGGAGTGTTTGACATACTATGACCATACAGTCCATACTGTTATGTTAGAGTGTTTGACATACTATGATTATACTGTAATGTTAGGAGTGTTTGACTTACTAAGACAAAAATGTTTGTTGGGAGAGTTCGACATACTATGACAAGACTCTATGTTGATAGGTCATTACTTACAAGTCATTCAAATCCAAATCTTCCTCAACTTCTGCTGCCTTTTGTACATAACTTTCTATTGCATCGATCATCTTCTGCTCTACGGCCTTTTTGTTTTTATACATGTGTTTACTTAACTGCCCAACTGTCTGTAAATCACAAGAAAAAGCAACAGACTCTTTAAGCATTTGGCTGAAAGTTCTACAACTGTCACTAAAATCTGGACAATCACATTTTCTCACAAAGTCTTCTTTCACTTCTATCATAAACTCCTCCAAAGGTTCAGGTGTCTTATCAAAGAAAATGTTTAGTTTTTTGAGGTCGTCATAGTCCCATTTAGTGGCCGGGAAATAAACATGTTCCTGTCCATTCACAAGTACCCGTTCACAACGATCGACTGGATCTGTGTATGATTCCTCCTCTGATGAACTGGTTGGAGATGACTCTACTTTCATCTTTCTTTTTTTAGGAAATGAAGAAGTTCGGGGGTCAGATGATTTGCTTTTCATGATCAGGACAACCTTTTACAATAAAGAAATGAAAGGATTAAACTAAATTATTTAAAATAAAAACATTCATGCATAAATTAATTTAATATTAAAATAAATGGAATAGTTAAGAGTATAGGCCACACTATATAGCCTAGGTACACAATCCTTTTTTATTCATTCAAAAATACACATGTACACAACAGAACAATTGAATAAACAGCTTATCAAAATAATTTAATGTTCCCCAGTTACATGTAGCTCAGGCCTGTTAACATGGTTAACAGAGCGAACTCTGGAAAACATTTCTTTTGGAGGTACCAGTATAAGGAATTTAGGCAAGTGCTTGAGAACATTCACTTCGTTAAGAAGGCTTCAGTCATCATGGTCATGTCAGTACTCTTGAAAACATTTTTGAATTTTCTTTATTATTCTGATCTTCTACTTTGCCCTAACCCAGTTAATACAGATATTTTTGACACATTTGAGAACAAACTTTTAGTTAATACACACATGCAATATAAACATAGATCATAGAGTTAAAATGGATTATCTGAATGATTTAGAGTGACAAATAACATAAGAAAGAAAAATGTATGGTTTTAGCTTTATAGCACTCTAAAAAATTATTTTCAAAAAGTTTTGAAACTGGCAATTAATTTGGTTGAGTTAATGACTGTGATTAATCATGACAGAATTTGGCAAGGAGTACCATTCTGGAAATACATGTACGACATCATCATGTGGTAGTGTTAGATAAACGGCATCCTACTAGCTTTGGCTACTGGGTTAATCCTTTAGCTCAATCGGTAGAGCACTGGACTGGCAAGCCAGAGGTCCCGGGTTCGATCCCCAGCAGAGGCACAAAATTGTCTAGAGCTGTGACATTTGGCACCCACGTTGGGACGCGGGAGTTCTCTGGCAGGTGAAAGTGAATGCCCCCAGAACTTCGCCCCACAGGCGTCGGCACTCCAAAAGAGATGAGGACATCTCATTCTCTGGAGGGGGACAATGTGGTAGTGTTAGATAAACGGCATCCTACTAGCTTTGGCTAGTGGGTTAACCCTTTAGCTCAATCGGTAGAGCACAGGACTGGCAAGCCAGAGGTCCCGGGTTTGATCCCCAGCAGAGGCACAAAATTGTCTCTGTTACAATCATAATCATTAAATTGATGTATTTCCTTTTTTTAACAGAAAAAGCCTCAAAATGACACATTTAAAGGGAAAATTTCCTTCAGAAAATAGTGTCTGCAACCAATGGGTACTTTTGATATTTTGATATAAATGTATGTTGTGCAAAATTAGATGAAAATCACATTTCAAAATCTTTCTGAAGTTGAACAATGCACATGATGCATGTGGATAATATTACCTTAAATAAAATTCATTTGAAAATTGGTGTCTTCTGCAACTTTTTAAAGAAAATACAGGAAAATGCACATGTTTATGATATCACAATTCACATGTGAGGAAAAAACAAGAGGCCCAGGGGCCACAGCGCTCACCTGAGCACATTGGCTTGGAAAAAGCACATATCAGATCAGAAATGAAAGTTTACGGGGGGGGGCTTGAATTTTAAAACCCCCCAGGGGTTCATGATTTGAACAAACTAGAATCTATACTACCTGAAGATATTCCATATTAATATCACTAATCATAGCTTTGAAGTACTTGAAAAGATGATTTTAAAAGGTTTCCCTATAAATCCCTATGTAAAACTTTGGTCGGCCATTTTGGCCCCACCCTAGCCCCGGGGGTCATGATTTGAACAAACTTGAATCTACACTACCTGAGGATGATTCAACATGAGTTTCATCTTTCCTGGCCCAGTGGTTCTTGAGAAGAAGATTTTTAAAGATTTTTCCTATATATTCCTATGTAAAACTTGGGTTGGCCATTTTGGCCCCACCCTAGCCCCGGGGGTCATGATTTGAACAAATTTGAATCTACACTACCTGAGGATGATTCCACATGAGTTTCATCTTTCCTGGCCCAGTGGTTCTTGAGAAGAAGATTTTTAAAGATTTTTCCTATATCAGTCCAGTCCAATACGAAAAATCGTAATGTTACGAAATATAGTAATATTACAAGAAATCGTAATATTACAGAATATCGTAATATTATTCTTATATTACTATTTTTCGTAACATAGTTAAATTACGGGAACTCGTAATATAGCAAGTTGAGAGAGACTATATTACGAGTTTTCGTAATGCAAGACAAAATAAAGCATTGAAAGAAACTGAATGATGTTTATGGAAGTATGACGTCAGAAATACATTATGTCCCAATGGTACCAGTAGCACGTGGTCATTTTGGTCAGTGACGTCTATCGCAAAGTATGGAAATGCAAGAAGAAAGTAACAATGGTAATGGGTGAGTGAACATTTTGTTTTATTAATCTTATATAAGAATTGTCCCAAGGATAGGAACAATTTTCCATAAAATTTCAATGTATCCTCAAGCTTGTCACAATGGTCTATAATCCCCGAATTCCCTATATTTTTCCCGAAGTCTACCCTGAAAATCAGACCCTCATCTCAAACAACGAGATGTTACGAGATAACTTGTAAGACTCTCACTAGGCTCTGAATCCGCTTGCACTTGGATCAAATGCACCAAAACAAAGAAAATGCACTAACCATACATATCCACGATATCATAATGATGAAACCAGAGACATATAATCTCTGATGAAACATAACAAAGAGATTGTGTCAGAAGAAAGGGAAGTAACTCTTAGAAGAGTTAGAAATTATTTATATTACGAGTTTTAGTAACATTACGATTTTTCGTATTGGACTGGATTGTATATATTCCTATGTAAAACTTGGGTTGGCCATTTTGGCCCCACCCTAGCCCCGGGGGTCATGATTTGAACAAACTTGAATCTACACTACCTAAGGACGATTCCATATGAGTTTCATCTTTCCTGGCCCAGTGGTTCTTGAGAAGAAGATTTTTAAAGATTTTTCCTATATATTCCTATGTAAAACTTGGGTCGGCCATTTTGGCCCCACCCTAGCCCCGGGGGTCATGATTTGAACAAACTTGAATCTACACTACCTAAGGACGATTCCATATGAGTTTCATCTTTCCTGGCCCAGTGGTTCTTGAGAAGAAGATTTTTAAAGATTTTTCCTATATATTCCTATGTAAAACTTGGGTCGGCCATTTTGGCCCCACCCTAGCCCCGGGGGTCATGATTTGAACAAACTTGAATCTACACTACCTAAGGACGATTCCACATGAGTTTCATCTTTCCTGGCCCAGTGGTTCTTGAGAAGAAGATTTTTAAAGATTTTTCCTATATATTTTTATGTAAAACTTGGGTCGGCCATTTTGGCCCCACCCTAGCCCCGGGGATCATGATTTGAACAAACTTGAATCTACACTACCTGAGGATGATTCCACATGAGTTTCATCTTTCCTGGCCCAGTGGTTCTTGAGAAGAAGTTTTTTAAAGATTTTTCCTACTTATCATGCTTATTTCTATGTAAAACTTGGGTCGGCCATTTTGGCCCCACCCTAGCCCCGGGGGTCATGATTTGAACAAACTTGAATCTACACTACCTAAGGACGATTCCATATGAGTTTCATCTTTCCTGGCCCAGTGGTTCTTGAGAAGAAGATTTTTAAAGATTTTTCCTATATATTCCTATGTAAAACTTGGGTCGGCCATTTTGGCCCCACCCTAGCCCCGGGGGTCATGATTTGAACAAACTTGAATCTACACTACCTAAGGACGATTCCACATGAGTTTCATCTTTCCTGGCCCAGTGGTTCTTGAGAAGAAGATTTTTAAAGATTTTTCCTATATATTTTTATGTAAAACTTGGGTCGGCCATTTTGGCCCCACCCTAGCCCCGGGGATCATGATTTGAACAAACTTGAATCTACACTACCTGAGGATGATTCCACATGAGTTTCATCTTTCCTGGCCCAGTGGTTCTTGAGAAGAAGTTTTTTAAAGATTTTTCCTACTTATCATGCTTATTTCTATGTAAAACTTGGGTCGGCCATTTTGGCCCCACCCTAGCCCCGGGGGTCATGATTTGAACAAACTTGAATCTACACTACCTAAGGACGATTCCATATGAGTTTCATCTTTCCTGGCCCAGTGGTTCTTGAGAAGAAGATTTTTAAAGATTTTTCCTATATATTCCTATGTAAAACTTGGGTCGGCCATTTTGGCCCCACCCTAGCCCCGGGGGTCATGATTTGAACAAACTTGAATCTACACTACCTGAGGATGATTCCACATGAGTTTCATCTTTCCTGGCCCAGTGGTTCTTGAGAAGAAGATTTTTAAAGATTTTTCCTATATATTCCTATGTAAAACTTGGGTTGGCCATTTTGGCCCCACCCTAGCCCCGGGGGTCATGATTTGAACAAACTTGAATCTACACTACCTGAGGATGATTCCACATGAGTTTCATCTTTCCTGGCCCAGTGGTTCTTGAGAAGAAGATTTTTAAAGATTTTTCCTATATATTCCTATGTAAAACTTGGGTCGGCCATTTTGGCCCCACCCTAGCCCCGGGGGTCATGATGTGAACAAACTTGAATCTACACTACCTGAGGATGATTCCACATGAGTTTCATCTTTCCTGGCCCAGTGGTTCTTGAGAAGAAGATTTTTAAAGATTTTTCCTATATATTTTTATGTAAAACTTGGGTCGGCCATTTTGGCCCCACCCTAGCCCCGGGGGTCATGATTTGAACAAACTTGAATCTACACTACCTGAGGATGATTCCACATGAGTTTCATCTTTCCTGGCCCAGTGGTTCTTGAGAAGAAGTTTTTTAAAGATTTTTCCTACTTATCATGCTTATTTCTATGTAAAACTTGGGTCGGCCATTTTGGCCCCACCCTAGCCCCGGGGGTCATGATTTGAACAAACTTGAATCTACACTACCTAAGGACGATTCCGTATGAGTTTCATCTTTCCTGGCCCAGTGGTTCTTGAGAAGAAGATTTTTAAAGATTTTTTCCTATATATTTTTATGTAAAACTTGGGTCGGCCATTTTGG